TGAACGGGTTAAATTTTCAAATATGACGCGTGCTAACGTTTCTTCGGAGCGGTAACGAGACAGATCCGGTTAAATATGGTTCTAAGAAATTTAACGAGTTTCCACGCATTCAAGTTTTCCAAAAATCGATAATATATGGTGCAAACGCGTTTAAAAATAAAGAATACATGTACAATCCTGATTAAAAGTTTATCTTAACTCGTTTAAATGGGTTAGAATAGATTTTGACTCGTTGAAACTCGTTCAACGATAAGTCACTCAATGCGTACGCATTCCAGTGCGTTAGAACGGTAATTTTCCAGTCACTCTTTTGTTTTGCATGACGAATTCATATATAAATAGCATGTCTTTCCCTACTAGATATACGATACATTCACTTAGAAAATTTTCCAAGTTTTCCTCTTACTATATATATGTGTAAGAGACCAGTCTGCCATAATGATGCTGATGAACAGTATCTAGTAGACCATAGCCATGTGGATCTTGGGATCCATCAACGGAACAAAAACCTGACCGAAAAGGATAAACACACTATACACGCACTATAACGCGTTAAAATTACATTGATCCGAAGTATTATTCTAACGAGTGTAAACGCATCCAAGAAGCTAACTGTAACCGTAGGGGCTGTTTTCTATTGATGTATTTTATTTATTCAATGATAAAATTGTTGATCACCACAACTGTACTTTTCAGAGTAAGAATATGTCTATATATATATGATGATAACAAAGGGATCAGAAAACATCGAACCATATAGACAGATAAAGTAAAGAGAACAGAGAACATCGAACGATACATGAATAGATAAAGTAAGGAGAACAGAGAATGTCGAATCGATAAAGAGAACAGAGAAGATAGAACGATACACAAATAGATATCGAACCATACATATAAAAGATCGAACTATATATATAATGAACGCTCTAGAAGAAAAGGAGAAGTAATGGCTGTGTACCCTGACACTAACTTGTTCAATTTTTAACGAGTTTGAACGATTTACGATTATGGAGGCGTTATCACGCACTACTAATCTAACTCGTTAGAATCACCGAATATGAAACATTTAACGCGGTTCTAACGCGTTAAGCCTCTTACGTAACGCGTTAGGGTTATAAAATTTTTGTAATTAACGAGTTTGAATGTCGTTTTCATATTTTTCTTGTAAATGAGCGTTTGAGTGCGTTAGTATTAATTTCCAGTCCCATATAAGTTTGAAAAATAACGCATTTGCACGCATTCAACAGTATTTAGCTAGTGTGCACGCATTAAATTTTTCTTTTATTTAACGCCTGCTAACGCGCGTTAGAGTATCAAAATTATTTCATGGGCTGTTTAAACGGCTCTTTTTGTACGACATACGAAACAGGTAATGATTAGATAAGAACATGAAATTAACGTACACGTCAGAGGTGGGCGAGCTAGCTAATCTGCTTGTAGACTCATGCTCACGAGCTAGCCCGATCAGGCTCGAGTCGAGCACGAGCGAACTTTCGTTTTCTCTAGGCGAGCCGAACCGATATCCCGCAAGCCGGACTAAGCGCGAGCTACGTTTTTAAATTTTTTTCCACATATGTGGGCGAAACTACCGCTCGTAGCGCCTCACTAGTAACAGCATGAACACTGTAATAGTAGACGCTATAACTGTAAATAGTTCTTTTTATTCATGCATCCGTCTGTAAATTATTTCAGTTGCGTCTGTCTTTCTTTTGATTCTTATGATCATATCTTCTTTTGTGGATGCCTATTTGACTATAAACATTTGAGAAAAACGCAAGAACCAATAATCCAAATGGAGTCAACCTTATCTTTCCTTGAAGACAGTGTCTTCTTCCTTAATTTCTGCTATGAAATATAACAGTGATATAATAAATGAGAATTTGAAGAAAAAACCGTTTGAATTAAAAATAGTTGATTTTGACGAAGCGCTAAATCATCGGTTGATCGCTTTTGTACTTTACAAACCCATGCTATATATCTGTCTTCGTCTGCTTTCGAAAGAAATTCATACGGTAACTCACACTGGAAGTATTTGTTTAGGCGCAATTATTATTGCTTTGCATCAGCTAATAGAGTATGAACCCTTTGAAGAAATGTAATCGTAATTTTTTGCGTTCAACGTTTTCTGTGGTGAGATAAAACCTCCTTCTACTCGTAAAATATTTAATGTTCGTACTGTATGCATAGGTTTCCGGGTGCAGTGAATGCAATGTTTTTTTTCACATTTCAGCAGTGATATTTACGACGATGTGTGAACACAATATTTGAGATACATTTTTCGTTTAAGTGTACTCTAATTTGTTTGAGTGTCTTTGAGCCAAATATATTTTTAAGTTTTTCATGATTTTAAATGCGTCACCGTTGACACAAAATACGAGGCGATAATCAATTCCGTATCTATCATATATTTTTCTATCCAAATATGAATTTAATCTTATTAACTTATTAACGCTGCATCCATTTGTCGTATTTCTGTTTTGAATTAAGGAAGGATCACAACTGATTATTACACTTTGTAGATTTTCTGGTTAAATGTGAAACATTCGCTCTATACGAGTGTACCTGCTTTGACCTCGAGTATAGCTAACGAAGAGCATCTAAAAGTTGAAGAACGACGAAATCAAATATTATTCTTGAAATACAAGAATGACAAAAAATATTAAGAGAATAGGATATAGATGCATTAATGAGAGTGCAGCTCAACAAATACGCACGATTCTCACTTAATGTTTTACAAAATAAGCCTTATTTCCTCCCAGAAACACCTAAATCATATATGTTGATCATGCTATCTGTTTCCGAATCACTGAGAGTTACCTAAAGGATAAATGATTGATAAAGCACATCGAGATGCATGTGTGCCAGCAGTTTTCCGCTGATCGGATGATCTTAGCACACGGACAAATTCTTTGCGCTTTCCTAACTGTATTTCCTATGCGAAAGGCGTACATTATACACTAGAAAGCTGTCAGCCTGTAGTACTGTTGCTAGCTGAGGCCTCGATCTCCTGAGAGACTTTTCCTTTTACACTTGTGACATACGACGCATTTTCCAATGGAATAGTAAAAATTTTGAATGCTAGAACCATTTCATCACTAAAAACCGCTAGGAAAAAATAAAACAACTTGTCACAACGTTTATGATTATCCGATTAGCGGAAAACTGTTGGCACACATGCATCGCGATGTGCTTTATCCAATGGCGACTGAACCGAGTTTCTAGCTTAAAAAATAAAGGTTTTATAGTTATTTTTAAATTTGGTCAAAAGGTCCTAAAGGCTTTTGAAAAACGTTTTTGATACAATCGTTTAGCTGAAAACTCTGCAACTGCCTATATTTGTTTAGTTTTCAATTTGCTATCGAATGCCGTTTGGTCGAGGTCTCCATCCCTTTCGGATACGGAGTTATTTAAATTTAAAAAAATGTTCAATTTTTAAAATTTAAAATTTAATTTAAAAATTTTAATTCAGAGTTGGAGATCCGATTTCGTTTTCAAAACGTAGCCCATTGTTTGCTGAATGTAGCCATGTAGTTAGAATGCTCCATCGTTTACGTTCTAGAAAGTGTTTTTATTCGAAATCTGTATGTAAACAATCGCTGTTTTTGGAACCTGCTTGCGAACATTTTCGAGAAAAGTGTCCGCTACAAAAGCGAAAGAGTATAGTCTGAAACCCAAGTACCTGCGGGTATTACAATCGGAGCGTTCCGTACTGAGTTAGGTTTTTCATCTATCGCGCCTGTTATTCAAGAAGTTATTGATGTGCTTCTTGTTCTAGTCTTTGTCTGGTTCATCTGGTTCGTACCGGTAGCTTGGTTGTTCGGATGGAATATTTGTAATTGTCTCCTCTTCTTAACTTTCTGATAACGACAATTCAGTTAATGCAGCAACGTTTACGATAAAAAATAGCTATTGTCATTTTGAGAGTCGATGGTCAACACTTTTAGTAAGAAATTAAGCATAATAGCAGCTGATGTAAATACACCTGTTCCCACTTTCTCTTCTTCCTTTCTGAAATCTTGAATCAAAGAGCTTTTTGTTATTTAATGTTCAGCATTTAATAGTCATGCTAATATTAATAAAGGTAAGGCTTTTATTACATTTTGTCAGATAAAACGTTAGAAAATGAAAAACCGAACATACGTTTTAACAAACAAAACCATCACAAGAGAAGCTAAGAAACAACAACTGCACTTAGGGGCTACCGAAAAAAATCCTTTTTGAAGTAGGCGATACCTTAGGATTCTCCGATTTCGAATAATAATAATACATATCTACAAATAAAACGAGCGTTCCGATTGCCTCTTAGAGTATAACATGGAAGAAACCAGCACTGTTAACGCAGAAAATAAGATTTGCTTTAAAGCTTTTAGTGATATTCCTGTCTATAATCATTCTGTTTCATTGTTTTCTTTCTCTTGTTCTGAGCTATCTTTTTTTCTAAAAATCTGTCGATAAATTGCAACATTTTTCCAACGTTTGGGCTGCCTAGGCCTGTTACTGGATCCCATCCACGACCAGCCTGAAAACCTTGACATTGATTTGTACATATACCTCCAATGGATACCCATGAACACTTGTTGTCACCGACTATTATATCATTTAAAAAAACATTAGGTTCTTCGTGTGCCATCTTATACAATAGCGGATTAAGAAAGCCCAATGTTTTGTTTGTTCGTTCAAGAGCATAGGAATTTAAAATCGATGCAATTCCAGCCCAAATTGGTGCTGACATGCTTGTACCAAATAGCGCGCCGTAACTATTATTATAAAAAAGGTAGCCACTAGTACCAAATGCAGCAACATCTGGAAATCCACGATTGGAAGAATTATACATTGACGACGATGGATATCGTTGAATACTATCGTTACACTTTATCGAACCGAAATATTGTTGGACAGCTCGTTGTTGATAGATTGGTTGTGGAATGAGACGGGAAAATCCACCGCTACTTGTATAACCGGTATTACCATAATCAACAGCTACTTCTTCACCATTAGATATACACTGCACTGGAGGTGTGATAAATGAGCATGCAGGAGGCGTTTCATTCAAATGATTATATTCAATATTGATTAATTCTGTACCGCCAACAGATGTTATATAGGGACATGTAGCTGGATAAATTGGAGAAAATATTTTATCGGTACAGTTTATGCCAGTATTTGCTCCAACGTCACCAGATGCTATCAGAATACTAATGCCTCTCATTGAAAGTTTCATAAATTCAATATTGGTACGTTGTATAAATATCACTTCTCTATCGCTGCTTGTATTGAATGTCCTACAGTCGATGGTTTGATTACAGACGCCGCCTAATTCATCGCCACCATAGGATATTGATAGCACTTGAGGCAGATCATCTAATTGATTTAAATTCATCGTAGTCGTATATAAATAACTATCCCCATTTGGATCATAGTTAATAAACCAATTATCAGCCAATGGATTAATACTACTGACTTGTTCAATATCAAATTGTGCTTCAATACCTGGATGGGTTGGATCGTTTGTTCCAATAATATGTTCAGGAGCAAGAGGTTTATATGGAATATTTAGTGTTTCTGAATACAATTGTAAATCATGTTCATCATAATATTGACCGGAGAATTCAACGACTCCCTGCGATACATTTCGCGGTAAACCAGTTTTTGCAATATTTGGAATATTGTAATAATCAATGATGAATTGCGGCACGATCAAGTCATATGGGGGATGTGTGTTTGAGAACGATTGAAAATCAGCACCAGCAGCAAATATTTGAGATGATTTAACCTTGACAGCCTTTTCTATTGGAAAGTCGGTTAATCCAACAATTAAATCAACATATAAATGTATTTCATCCGGCAAGTCACACTGTCCCCAAGTTCGATAAATTTTTCGTTTTACATTACTGACATGGGTATAAGTATAGAATTGTGTTGAAAACAATTTCGATGCATGTTCAATAGTTGTGGTAATTTGAAATGTATCTGTTCCAATTATTTTCACTTCATCTAACATGCAGTTAAATGACTTTTTACACCATTTTTGAATTGTTGAATATCCTTTTGAATGCGGTTTTAAAATTGAATTGATTTCCCTACGCGTTAACCATTGTTGATATTGATCACTGTCAGGATCGGTAATTTGCCAAAATATCGATTCCAATTTCTGTAATGATTTTTCATCTTGTTTACATGCTAAATAAAATGTGATTGTATGATTTAACGGTGACTTTTCAGATGATTTAATCCAGTGTTTTGGCACCGTTGTCCGTTTAATGTACAATTTTGAATGAACAATGCCAACAGCCACAATGAAAAGAGGTAAATAGATTTGAACAGAAAACATTTACTGATTGTACTTTAAACTTATGAATCTATCATATATATAGCAAACTGACAACCAATGTCGCATTAATAAAAAACATATGAAGTGCTCTTCTAGATCTGAAATTAATTGAAGCAACATATGATTGTTGTTTTAGATCTGAAATTAATTGAAGCAACACATGATACCAAAATGAGTGTTTGGTTATATCATAGGATCAGAATATTATTACTTTTATACTGTCGTTTGACAGAAACTTGCTTTTTGGCATGTGAGAGTGAGTTTGAAAAGTAGTTTAGTTATCAATATCCAATGTGTACTACGAAAAATTTACAATATGTCGTCTACAATAAAAAGAAAACATTTGTGTTTAGCGTACCATATATAACAACTTAGTTTCATACTTTGGTACCGCTTAACTTTATCTTTCTGCAAAATCCCCCAGCCCAACCGTTCTTCGTTTTTCTCTGAGACCGCTTAAGTTGGAAACCTGCTCCTTGTGATGAAGTTAAGAAGTACTTCTTCCTCTTATATATATATCCGTTATTGACTCGATATGCATCAATTTAAACATCTGATTAAACAGATCCTTCGATTGGTTCTGTTTATGTTTCATATCTGTTTGACCTCAATGCCGTCGCTTGGTGTAGTGAATTGAGAGGAAAGTTCTTGTGAACAAGATTTATAATCCACTGGAATAGATGTATCATCGCCGGCATTGTCATTTTTCTCTGGCTTAGCGCTACCTCTTGTGCTTGCAATTGATTTTTCAGTATAACTTTCTTGTTCATAATTAAAGTAGATGCCTTATAAGAAATTGACTTCATTAACCTTTGTTTTCGAGTTTCCAACACCTCCGCTATATAGTCAAGTCACATATTTTTCAATATTTTTCAGCATACAATTAAAGTCCCGGGTATCTAATGCAGCTTTGAAAATATGGGCAGGTTCACGTATCATGCATAAACTTTTCCATTTATTATCATTATGAGCAAAGATGTTTACAGCAGCGATTTTCTAGCGAAATTTTAGCCATAGTGTTGATAGTTATGAACACTTTTTTGTCAAAATCAACTATTTTTAAATCAAACGGTGATATAATAAATGAGAATTTGAAGAAAAAACCGTTTGAATTAAAAATAGTTCATTTTGACGAAAAGGAAACCTATGGACATGTAGCCCTCCGCTTTCATTAATTCATACGTCGATCGACAGAGGATATGGAAGTTGTAAGAAGATAAAAAGGAAAAGCGATCCACCCGGGATTCAAAAAGATTGAGCGATCGGCCTCTTCTATATATCTGTGATATTCATAAAAAGTTCCACTTTTATAACTCATGCCATTTCCGAGTTATTGAATTTTAAGTTTTCCATAGATTAGCCCTTTCGTAGCCTCGTAATATAATGGCTTCTCAAATCGTTGGTTCTCTACTAGAACTGTAGAAACTTTTGTAAATGACATGGTTTTGATTGGCACACACAAACAACAGTTCTAGTAGAGAACTAACGATTTGGGAAGTCGTTGTGTTGTGAGCCTATCAAAGGGCTAACCTATGGAAAACTTAAATTTCAATAACTCGGAAATGGAATGATTTATAGAGGCGGAACTTTGTGAATATCATAGATATATAGAAGAGCCATAGAAAGAAATCTGAGCGCTTAACTTCTTTTCTGGGCAGAGACATGATTTTCCTTTTAATAGGAAATATTTTTGAAAAGGAAATTTTAAAATAGTTATTGTTTTGCTGTTTCTCTCGCGCATATAATTGAAATCTAAAGAAACACGTTTTTGTATTTCTTGTTATGTCTTCCTATTCAAAGATGCAAACAAACATGTCATTTTTTTTTGGTTAACGTAGTGAAAGGATCATTTTTACTCGAGCATTTATAAAAGTGTTTTCCCAAGTTTAGCAATATTCAGGTGTAAAAACAAAAATAGTATGACATACAAAATAAATAGACCAGTAAGGGCATAGCAACATCAGGATAAAATAGCTGAGAAAATTGGAAGAAAATGGGTTTGCTTGTCACACGACTGAAAGTGTTATTATCAGAGCAGCTTGCATGTTCCAAAATGGTTTTCTTTTCTACAAAATGTATCAAAACTAATAGAGATGTCTGAAAGCTAAAGGATAGTGTTTTGTACGAAAGGCTAAAGTGGAGCCTTTTGTCATTCTGAGATATTGCAGTCTATTTTATTTTGAAGAATATCCAGACATTTTAGGTTTTTGATATTGTAGATTTTTCTTGAGAATGAGAGAGAAATTTATATCTTCAAGAGCATCTTCAAGAGAGAGGAGATGAATGTGAGTGGGATTGTATAAGATTTTATGTGAACGTGGTAGTCCGCTAACTAGAAACTCTCTGACTATATGTTTGGAAGTACATGTGATGGAGTCCGAAGCTGGAAGGATGATAAGCTCAAAAGATGAAATGGTGAAAG